AACCCGTCCGAGCCTGACTCTGCCGCGACCTCCGCTTGGGGCTTGAGGGCTTGCCCGAGCCCCTAGACTCCCGATCTACACCGACACTATAGTTTAGCCCTTGGCTCCTGCCCGACAAACGATGTCAGCCAAGGCTCGGGCACAAGAAGACAAGCCCCAAGCTACCAAGGCTCAGGGGCTCCCCAGCGCTACCCCTTGCGCACGGCATTGCTGGTCGCTTTTTCTGACAAGGTCATGCAGGGGCCGTGACACAAGAAGGCAAAGCTTCCTAGCACCTCCAGAGGCTTGGTGGCTCCTAGGCCCGCACGTAAACCCCTGGAGCCGACCTCCTTCACCGCCATGTAGACTCTAGAAGGTCCACCGGGGGAGGCCTGTCTAAGCCGACATAGCCTGACATGTAGAGTATCAGAATAGAGCACCCGGGCGACACCCAAGGCTTCTTTGGCTCCACGACACCGCCACGGTCCACATCGCGTTGTTGCATGGCTTTCCTGGACTCCGACGCATGTATTCCATAGGCTAGTTCCCCCAAACCATCATGTACCCAACCTATCTTGTTATATAAGGGATAAGGTCAGACCTAGGAGGGGGGACGATCACCAGAACTTAGATCATTCCATACCATTCCTTGGCCTCTGCTAGCACCGAGAGCAAGGTAACCCATAGAGGGACACCGAGAGCTCCTCCACTGCATCCCATCGTCTTCCTCCTCTCCGACGAGGGAAAGGCTCCACCAATGATGAGGCAACCATAGGATTAGAACCGAGCTAACCTCCTACCAAATCTCTGTACAACCCTGTTGTAACCCCCCGATTTTGGGTGCTTTTCAGTATAACCATCATCAGCTGCTGGATGTAGAGCACCAATTGGCCCAAACCAGGATAAACCATTGCGTCCTCTATATGATTCTTCTGTTCTTGAGTCCACTCGAGCCATCGAAGACCCGTACTCTGACACCGACTCGAACAACATGCTTGCCGTGGTTCTGACCCCATGACAATGGCCGATAACACCATTTCGGTGAAATCTCGGCAAGGACCAAGCCTCCTGGACATGATGCATCTAGAGCACCACCCCGCTGACCTAACCCCCTCCCTTTGTTCCTAGTCATCCATCCATGAAGCAACAACTAGGATTAGATCGGCCTTCCCCGTACCCCTTCAGTCCATACTGTTCCATAGACCAGAAGCACCAGCATAGTTCAAAGCTGGTCCACCGTAGACCAGCCAACCAAAAGCCACCACATGGCTCCACATCAACGAAGACCAGGTCAACCTAACTATTTTGCTAAAGAGCCCCTCTGTTTCTTCAAAATCAACTCATTGTCCAACTTAATCCAAAAGAGATTATTTTTCTAGTCCTTTTTCTTCTCAAAAAATTTACTTGCCTTTTAGAAAATAGGACCATCGTCCAGCAGAGTAATTTATAAGTTTGACCACGTGTTTTCAATCAAAATTACGTATACATTCTTTCTCAAAATTACAAAACCGCCACTGATTTTTTTTAGTGTAGAATCTCCATTTTAACTCCAATTTGAGTCATTTTTACGTCTGTGTGTTTATAGCAATGCGTAGATTAGTTTTAAAACCTTTTCAACTACTATATTCAGTGATTGGTGTATTATTCTATTTATTTATATTTGTATATTATTCTAGTCGGTGAGCTTTATGTTGGTGATCAAGCTCAGTCTCTGAAGGCTAGGACCAGCAGCAGATCTACAAAGAAGGCAAGTATAATATGAGGCTATTCCTTGATACCTACTCACCTTAATCCAATTGTGCTCATTTGTGGATGAGTCTAATTTGCTTTATCACTAAGGACCCATTCTAGATATTGTTATCCTATTACTTGACATGCTATGGGTTATGCATATGGGTAGTTCTTGCTAGTTTCTCTACCTAATAAACCTCTTTAACACTAGTCAATGGCATATTCAATAAATGTTTAAACTTGCTTTTTAGCAACATTGAATTAGGGGGCTAGAGCATTGTGCTATTTTTATGGTGCTCTAGTTTCTCTCCATAAGGACTCATCTATTAGCAACAACCCAGGACTTATAGTGCAACCATGAGGACTATATGGCTCTAGTCTTGTTTTAGTACTTCGAATTTCTCTAGCTTGTTATTGGTTGCACAAAAGGGGCTTGAGCTGATGATGAGTATAGGATGACCTCTATTATTATGTGTACTTATGGATTAAGCATGCCATAATAATAGGGGGTTCCTATATTTTCACGCCATTGAAACCTATAGTGGCTACTAACTTGTTAGAGGGGAGTTTGGAAAAGCTTGTAGTGCAACCTCGCGTACCCACCTTGGAAGTGGGTAAAGAGGCTAGAGACCTCTAGGCATATGGGAATCATGACTCATGAGTAAAGTTGTACAACCTATGCAGAGTGTCTAAAAACAGATACATTGGTCGTGCTCTCGGTCATGAACCGCCTCAATCTCTTATGGAATAGTTGTTTGTTTATGAAAAGTTATTTATGTTTGTTATTGCAATTACTTTAATCATGTGGTTGAAGTGGGTTTATACATGACACAACAACCTAAGCTTAATGCAAAAAGGTGAATAACTGAAATGTTGACTGCTGTTTAACCATGTCTGACCATTGAGCCATCATAAACCTTATGTTACTTTTGTTAAGTACTTTTCTACTTACACTTGTTTTTTCAATACTTTGGCAAAATCCTAGATGGGTACTAGATTTATGAGTATTTGGATAAGTTTAGGCTTGTAGTCAACCAGTTAACGTCCCTATAGTGTTGGACAGTTAGTCTTCACAAGAAGAACATAGTTGCTTTATGTTGTTTGATGTCCAAGGTTATATCATTTTTGTAATGAGCAATTAAGCATTATGTAACAAAGCATTGTTTTTGATATTACCCCTTATTTGTAGCTATATATGTTATTTGACTTCATAGGCAAACATATGTTATTTATCTGGTTTTGTCCTTAAAACTGGGTATTACGTCAAGTGTGGAGTCTGTGCATGATGGGTCATGAGCAGTGAAGGTCGGACTAGAACTCTTGGACCAAGACATCAAGGAACCAAAGGTTAGGGAGGAAAGCGTGTGTGGCTTCCATTGGGTACATGTAGAGCAAGAGTACATGGGTGATGAAGATGACATCGACCAAGTCATGGAGGACGATGATTAGCACCTGGTAGAGGGGACAAACACACATCTACATGGATGGTGAAGGTGGCATCGATCAAGTCAAGAAGGAAGGCAAAGGCATTAACCTTGGCGGAGCTTAGACGGGCATTGTCATCAGCCAGTCATGCGCTACCGAGGTGTGCATGAGGACTTGCCATTTGATCCTCAAAATAGACCGTGGAAGTTTGATGGTTTAAGCCTCAAAACCATCGATGGTAGGTTTGATAGGTTTGGGCCTCAAAATCGGGGAGTGGTGGGTCAGCGGACCATGTGTTGGAATCTCTTAGTTTGTATCGAGGCAAAGTGGAGTAAAAAAGGCACCAGGTCCACTAGATCAGTGATGAAATATTTGGAGGATTTTATCCCTCGGGGTATTTAGGATTAGTAATTGCATCTCGAGAAATAGCCAAGTGCCTATATATATGGGAGATGGCTGGTTGTGCGAACACAACATGGGGAGATTATTAGAAGGGTTAGGCTGGCTTTTGTTAGGTGGAGAGTTTTTGCTGATCTGAACCTTTTGCCATCCAAGTAATGAGATGTACTAGAAGTGGCTTGTAATCCCACATGGTGAAGTAATCCAAAGAACAATTTCGTTCTTCACTTGTCTTCGTCCCCTAAATCTGAAATTTCCCTTTTTCAAGTGGATTTTATCCTTTTGTGAATTTTGTTATGCTATTTTTGCTTGATTTTGGGCTTGTTTTATGAGTGTTTTGGGGCCCTTGGAACTTGTTCAAACTATGGCTTGGAGCCCAGCACCTACCTACAAAGTTCTAATACCTCCCTATTTGATCTCTAATGGTGTCTGCATGGTTTATGATTGTCTCTCTTGTTGTGTTTCTCTTACCTTCCTCCTCTCCTTTATTCTTTTATTACAATAGATTTTTTTCCTACGAATTAGATTCATTGGATTGAGGTTAGAGCCTTGGTGCTAATTATTTTCCCCATTTCTTTGTAATTTTTAGTACCATTTTAGGTTTTTCGCTTTCTCTTGTACCTCAAAGTAAATGTTGATTTGATTATTATCTATACTTTAACCAAGTCAGTATTTCATCGGTATTATCAAAATGGCTCCTCGTATGCTTAAATCCTGGCTCCGCCTCGGCCACACCCAGCCTGCACGCCACCGTCATGTGGCGCTGCCCATGACTTGCCTTCTCTGCTGGCCCCACATAGCTTCTTGCCTAAACATCTGCCTGCGCTCTAAGTCGGCCATGCTTTGACCTTGCCGCCAGCTGCATGCGCATGCCGGTCAGTGGCCCAATCAACTATAGTTACGGTTTGGGAAGCGAGATATGGACTTGGTGAGGAATAACTACTCTTTGGACTCCTGAAGGGTATAAGGGAATAAAACTTGCTTGACTCTCAAGTTCTATGTAAAAATCATAGCAATGGTATATAAGGGATCCAAATATCTAAATTGATGGCATTGAATGAAACGCGTATTTTTCAGTGGCATATAAGGAATGCTATAAGTTTGAATAGTATTGAAGCAATTTTCTCCTGAAAGTGATAGAATAGATTATGGGGTCACTCAAACATAAATGTGTGGGAAGCTAAGTGGAACTAAATAAATAAGGATAAAAGAGGTTGAAAAACAACATTAATATGCACACAATATTTTATTTGTACTCTCCACTAATACAAAATTGTGTTTTGCCATGAGTCTCGAGAACAATTTTTTTAGTGCTATTTCTATTCGAATATACCTATAAAATACCACAGATTATGAGATTATGAAGAGATATTTACGATTTTCATGTTTCTAAACAAATTTTTTATGTGTGTGTATATGTTTTTCAAACTAAATGAAGCAAAATGGAGAAAGCACATTTATATTACCTTTTTGCGGAAAAGGCACAGTGCGGCTTCCAGATCTAGGACTTCTAAGTTGTAGACATTGTCTTGTTTTCCTGAGCAATGCTTTGCAATATCATTTTTCCTTGTAGTCACAATGATTCGGCTTGTCTGCTCCAAATGAGGGACCAAACATGGACTTATCAGTTCCCATTCCGAAGTAGATGACACGTCATCGAGAACAATCAAGCACTTCTTCATATTTAGAAGGATTTTCAACTCCTCCATCAACCCTTGAACACTCATCGTTGATAATGATTTTTTGGTGCCACCTCTATTATCCAACAGTTTCTCCTTTGTAGATGATCCTTGATCTAATCGAATAGTCAAGCTTTTAAGGAACTCCGCAAGCTCAAATGGACGCATTATTGTGACAAAAACAAACTTCTCAAACTTGTCACTAAGCTTTGGGCTTTGATAAACACTGCTAACTAGAGCAGTTTTTCCAAGTCCGCCCATTCCCCACACAGAAATCACCTCAACTTGTTGGCTATCTCTTGAAATTAATAAATTGACAACGTCATCTATCTCCTTCTTCCGCCCAATGAGTTGAGATTCCTCCAAAGCATCTTGTGTAGGGTCTTCTTCTGTACGGACAGTGGCTGCTTCCCGGTTAGACACTGTGTTCAATGAATCGTTTCCTTCTTGAGAACCCTATAAATAAAAGAAAGCAATGATTAATCAGGATGATCCTTTAGCCGCCTCCAATTTTACTGGAGAGTGGCTACCTTTCCTGACCGCTCTTGTAAATGTATAAAGTTGTTCTTAATTTTCATTTCCTCAGTGTTATATTAAGCGTATCTACTGTACAATTTGCATTTAATGACTAATGATTGTAAGTCGATTATTAAGATTCAGATCCTGTACTCCCTACGTCCTAAATTATAAGGTACCGAAGCATTCAAAATATGTCCTAAATTATAAAATATTCTAGATGAATTAGTTCTCCAAAGCACTAATCACATACATATATATCGGTCATTATTGTCTACTAACAGATTTAAACTATGACAAACACAAGATGTTTCTACGGTTAATGAAGGATTACAAGTGTCATTTGTTTTACCGCTTATAATCTATCTATCCTAAAATTCCTAGAATACCTGGTATTTCAGGACAGAGGGAGTAACTAGGCAGAAAGGCATATAAATAATAGGAATCTGGGATGATTGTGGTAGAAAAGTTTGCAAGATTTTCTAACATAACTACATAAATGGTAATTGCAACAGTTAAAAAGCGAGGATTACGGGCTTTACAATAGATCTCAGTATATATTCTGGAAAAGAACATCCCATTTTAACTTAGGAATCTGGACTAGAAATGTGAATGCTTTCTAAGCAGTTTTTCAATCAAACAAGCGACAGAAATACAAAAATAAATTCATGTGTTATTAGACGTTATACGGACTTAAACTCATATAAATAAATTCTTATAGAAATCTTAAAGGCCCATTAGCGTGTGTTCACTAAGAGTTCCTAATGTTTAAAGCTCACAAGTAATGATTTTAGTCAGTGCAAGCTAAGCGTATCTTAGCTGATTGAGTTCCTTGTGGAATTTGACCACCTGCAGGATTCAAGTTTGGACGCGACGTGGGTGATCGTATTTTTTTGGATTTATTCTAAGATTTAACGGTATGTTGAGCATGCGTACGTATATGAAACAATCTCTAAGTTTGTATCTAAATTACTCACCACTGTCATTATGAAACTTAATTTAAAAATAGTCCCTAAATTTATATTTAAATTACCCACATTTGGTATTGTGATAGGTAAATATTTTTGAATAACAACATACATTTGAATATATATTACCCATCCTTACAAATGAATTAGACGCTCGTAAGGAACCTCCACCTTAATCCGTGTGAGACGCACTAGGAAAAGAGATATGGCCTACAATTCTCATAATAATCAGAAACGTCTAGCCTTCAATTTAGGACTCCAGTAGTCATTGCATTTATTAGATTTTATTAAAAAAATACCACCTCCACCACTAAAAGTAACCTTTAAATTTGCATCTAAAGTACTCACCTGTGCCAAATGTGTGAAAGATAATTAAAATAACCCTTAAATATGTATCTAAATTATATATCCACATCTGCTATTATAAAAAATAATTTAAAATGACCATCTAAATTTATATATAAAATATATAAATTACCCATTTTATATTATATATCATTGTGAGTAGATAATGCAAAGTAATTCCTAAATTCACATCTAAATTATCCAAATATGTTAGAATTAAATAGAATATAAAGTAACACCAATTATTCATTCTAAAATGTACATATAAAAACTAATATAACACATTATGGAAAATAATTCAATACACATAAATTACGTTGTATGTATTTCTAAATTACACGCTTATACCACTATTAAATTAAAAGTAAGCATCGTTTTGTGTGTCACCATGTACACTAAGTAAAAATGCACACATTAGGATAAATATTTGTTATAATAGTTTATCAAGCATGGAAAAATATACCCTTCGTAAACAACATATCAATGGCATTGAAAATTCACTTTAAGTTATATTAATCATGAAAAAGATTACCCTAACGAAGCACATATCAAAAAACACAGATGATTCATTTCAAACAATATTAAGAGACCGTGATATATGAATAATGGTCATTTAATTATAAGCACACCTTTTATATAAAACAAAACTACACATATGAATTTGGTAGACAAAATTCAACTTCATGAGTGCCATGGTGTAGAATGAAACGGATGTTTATACTATTCTAGTGACTAAGAGTGCAGTCTAGGACAAAAATCAATCTCTTTAAGAAAGTATAAAAGGAAACTTTTCAAAAGGAAAAAGTTATGGATGAGGGAGGAAATGTATATTAATTGGCAATAACAAGAATCTTTCAAAACTGGATAGAGGTAATAAAGCATCTATAATGTTAGAGCATGAATAAGTGAGAGGTTGAAGATAATCAATTTTGCTTAGTTGTGGGTCCCAATTAATAAATGAATTCCTAACAGAAATATCTTTTTTATCATTATTAGCACGTGCAGGGAGCATGGTGATGGATTAATCTGGATAATTTTTTTTGGTTATATCTTATATGTATATTTGTGGCTAATGTTTTGAAATGCTGAAAAACTTACGATGCATTTCCAAGAGCAAAAATGAAAAACCATATCATCAGCGCTTAACTCCATCCCACACTATAACTAGACTAGATAATTGAATTAGAAGGACACAAAGAGGTATTATAATACTAAGAATGAGATGATTTCTGAATATGGGAATAACCAAATATTACCTTTCTGTAGAATGCATAAAGAGTTTGATCATGAGACAATCGTTTTAGCTCTGACGCTTGGCTTTCTTGCCCAGCACATAAGCTTGCAACTTCAACGTGCATTGTTGACACTATGATTCGGCTTCCTCTCTTAATATCTTGGAAACATTTCTTAATCTGATTCCACTCTTCTATGGTGGAAAGGTCATTAAGCACAATGAGACACCTTTTCTTACTCACATATTCATTGAATTTCGTAGCTACTTTTTCTGCCTCCTCTATCTCCTTGAGAACTTCAACCCCTTTGGCAGCTTCAAATTCGGTCACCAAGCTCTGGACAAAGCCTTTTGGACTCAAAGGATGCATCACTCTAACCCATGCTCGTCCTGAAAATTTGCCTTGGACACTTATGTTCTCATAAGCTTCCATGATGGTAGAAGCTATGCCGATGTCACCGCTTGTTCCCCACACTGCGATCACTTTAGGCTCCTCATCGTCCGTGCTGATCAATTGGACGAGGTCCACTCTCTTCTCCATTTGTTTGGAGGCATACCTTGCATCATCGACACCAAAGATTGCTGCACCAATAGCGCTAGATTGCTCCGCAGCGGTGGTGGCAGCCTTGAAGCCTGAGCCTTTTATGAGATGGTACCGTGCATTCCTCTGGCTGACGTCCTCAACCTTGGCCCTAAGCTCCTTCATCTGCTTAGCCACCCAGCGCCGCTCGAGCAGCGTGTGAGGGAATCGCCACCATGATGGCCTCTTGAGACGAACAGCAAAATCCTGGAGGCTGTCCTCGACATCGTAGGCAGTGTCACGAACCTGTTTCACCCACGTCTTGACCACCTTGTTGTTGTCTTGCTCCTCGTGCGCCTCCATCATGAAAGACCTCATCATCTCAAGCTCATCCGCGATGAAAGTTTGGTCTTTTTGGATACCCAGCTGCAAGGCCACCTCCTCAGCAAATGCTGATTTGGCGTAGCCAAGCGCTCCATTCAACACGGATTTGCCTACACTCAGTGCTGTTGCCTCCATTGCTCTGATGTATTTCTGGATGGATCTGTGGCAGGGCTGATGCTCATACGCCTGATGGCAGATCTACAATGCTCATAAGAAGCAATATAAGGTCCAAACTCAGCTATGACAGGGAGTAAAATTTAGAGTAAAATATACCGGCAGTCCCTATAAACATGGCACGCGCTGCCATCTAGATCTCAAACATTCATTTTTTTCTGATTCCTGGGACCCTAAACTTGTCATGGGCTTTACAGCTTTAGCACTGGTCCAAACAGATTTCGGCCTGCTTTATACGTCGACGTGGAACAGTTTGTTGGTCAGGTTTGAGAAGATGTCTTTTCTTTGTCATCGTAGGGGACTTAATTTAATGCTTAATCTAGATTGTGTTTTTTTTGCTTCCGTGTACTCTGTAGTTGTAGTATAGTGTGGTAATACTCAGAAGAAATTTATGTTGTTGTTTTCTTCTGGGGTGTTACAGCTGACGTGGATCTAACATATTTAATCTAATAACTATATACTATTACTGAATTGACTTTCACTGTCGGCCCATCATTGCCGATTTCTTACAAACCGGTGGTGACAGTGCTTGCTAGTCCATCACTGTCGGTTTGTAGCTAAAACCAATAGTGATAACACTGTTGGTTCATATCACTGCCAGTTTTAGTCATGAACCGGCAGTGATATTTGGTCATCACTGTTGATTTTAGGCTAAAAACCGGTAGTGATACTATCATGGCCGGAACTTGGCTTAAACCGACAGTGATATGCTGCACGAAAACTTCATAACTTTCTTATATGATGTCTGCTGACAATGAATTTTATACCACAGTTGTAGTACTCGACAAGATCTGCAACTTTCTAGTTTAAACTTTCTTGATTTCAAATCGTTTGGATGTACAAATATGCATCATAATATTTTATACAGTTAATACCGAAAGAGTCCATATGGTATATAGTCACAAGTTAGTATGTAGTGGCAGTTAAGGATCTCTGGCGGAGAAGTGACTAAAACAAAAGTTGTACATCTCGAGAAGCTATACAACTCTGTAGTTCACAACTTTTTTATTTAAAGTTGTTTTGATGTCGAAATATTTAAGTCACAAGATTTCGTATAAGTTAATACCAAAGGAATCCATATGCTCTATGCTCATAAGTGAGTGTGTAGTGATAGTTACGGATCTCGGATGGAGAAGCAACCAAACCAAAAGTTGTAGATCTCAAAAAGTTATACAACTTTCTAGTTGACAACATTTTCATTTGAAATCATCTATCCACCGAAAATTACATTTGATTTCTCAAATTTCAAATTCTAATTTTTCAAATGACCTCGGAAGGAGAAATAGCCAAAACAAAAGTTGTACCTCTTGAAAAGTTGTGCAACTTTGTAGTTGATAACTTTTTTATTTAAAATCATATATCCAAAGAAAATTACATGTCAATTTCGTCATAGTTGAAATTCAAATTCTTAATGCGACCTCGGATGGAGAAATGACCAAAACCAAAATTGTAGATCTCGTAAAGTTATAAAACTTTGTAGTTGACAACATTTTTATTTGAATTCGTTTAGGGTTCCAAATATCATTCCAAAACCAAATTAACATAAAATGGGGAGGACGAATATCTCAAATGGACACAAGTGTCTTACAGGTGAAGTGGTTAGGGGACGAAAACGTGAAGCCGGAGGTTGTGGGTTCAAGCGTTGCCAGGCATGAAGCGTGCGTTTTTCGCGCGTAAAAAAGCATGACTTGTGACTTTTGACTGATCGGTGGGGTCCCTCCTAGTATTAAAAAAAGAGTAAAGTCCACTAGCAGTCCTCAAACTTGTTCGGCTATGTCATCCCGGTCCCTAAACTCGTAAATCGACCGTTTAGATCCTCAAACTTGTCCATCTATGTCATCCCAGTCCCTAAAATCACAAATCAATAGTTTAGGTCCTTAAACTTGCTCGGATGTATCATCTAGGTTCCTAAACATGCAAATCACCCGTTTAGGTCTTCAAACTTGTTCAGTTATGTTATCCCGGTCTCTAAATATTGTAAACTTGTAAATTCAATATATATTTATAGAACTATCCAAAAAATATAAATCTAATTTTGTTAGACTCCCGGTAACATGCACTTTAAATTAGAATAAAAGAAATCACCATGTACTTACTATTTTTAACTCTGTAGTTAAATGACTAAATAGGCACGTATATTTTTATAAATCCTAAAAATGTATGTGTCTATTTAGTTATGGAACTATAGAGTTAAAAATACAAAGTACATGGTGATTTCTTTTATGGTAATTTAAAGTACATGTTATCAGGAGTTTAAAAAAATAGATTTATAATTTTTGGTTAGTTCCATAAATATATATTGAACTTACAAGTCTACAGTATTTAGAGACCGGGATGACACAACTGAACAAGTTTGAGGACCTAAACGGGTGATTTGCATGTTTAGGGACCTAGATGATACAACCGAATAAGTTTGAGGACCTAAACGAGCAATTTGAGAGTTTAGGGACTGGAATGACACAGATGAACAAGTTTGAGGACTTCTGGTCAATTTGTGAGTTTAGGGACCGGAATGACATAGCCAAACAAGTTCGAGGACCGTCGGTGCACTTTACTCTAAAAAATGGCTATTTTTCAGCCCTTTTTTCATCATGTTTTTGAGTGCCGGTTCAAAATCCTATAGTGGTGAGAGATTTTGTACCGGTAGTGATTCTCTTTAATGTAGTAGTGCTAAACTTGCATTTTGATACCGTTCACGCCAAGCTTGTCTACGGCCAGGGCCTGATGGTGTGGCTGGTCATGGTCAAGCTGGGCTCCTCGTCCTTGGCTCAAGGGTAGAGAGTGTTGTCCCACTTAGAACGGAGACAAGAGGGAGGGGATGGAGATGAGAGATGGATAACATATGGGCCCACATAGGAGGGAGTGGGGAAGGAGATAAGAGAGAGGGACGACATATGTGCCTTACATGTTCGGTGCATAGTTGTCATTCACACATGCTGCTTATCACAAATGATGGTAATTTGGACCTCGTGTGGCCCGATTAGCATGTTTGGAGACGTAGATCTACAGTTTTGGAAGTTAGGACCTAGACGGCACTGACATGCAAGTTTAGGTATCTCGAGTGTTCCGTTTAGCAAGTTTGAGGATGTAGACATGGAGTGTTGTCAGTTTGAGACCTAGGTCAGCACTGCCTTGCAGTTTTAATTATTGGACCAAACACGTCAGATTATTGGATCAAACATTTCAGGGAGCTAAGGCCCTGTTCGCTTCACTGAGAAAACAAGCCGAAACACTGTTCCGGTTGATTTGTTGTGAGAGAAAAACACTGTTCCGGCTGAAAAAACAAGCTGAAAAGTACGGATTATAAGAGAAGCGAACAGGGTAAGTCTTTGAATCGGTGCTGAAGGCCGTAACAAGTTTAAGCACCCAGAAATCAAAGAGAAGTTTGAACCATAGAGAACACCACCTTCAGAATTTAGAGATCGGCGGCGTGTTTTACCCTGAAATTTAAGACGAAATAGGGAAAACGGACTGGTGTTGCTGAACCTTCCGGTTCCTCGCATATGGGAGTACCTGAATCGGTGAACACCCTCAGATCAGGGGCTCACGCCGAACGGTTAAGATCTAGCATCAGACCGACAGAATCGACAAGATTAGATGTGCTGCCACCAAATATGTATCCTTGCTGACTCTATGTTCACACCTGGACCCAAAAAGAAAAGATTTCACTAGTATTTAATCTAATCCCAAATTAGTGTGTGAGAAACAGATACAGATCAAAATGTTTGAAGTATGTGTATCTTTAATCTTCTGTGGCCTATACTATCAGAGGGCGCTTACAGTTAGAGAGCTGCAGGCCGATGCTGTTGCAGGTCGCCGGAAGGGGACGGCGCAAACCAGCGTGACACAAAGGCGCCGCTAGACGATGGAGGAGTAACGCGGCCACGCCTGCTGCCGCTTACACTCGGTGGCTCGCTCAGTGCTCAGGAAGTGAAGGGCTCAAGTTGCTGGCTAGGTTGAGGCATAAACATAAATATGCGATGCGAGGTGTGTGCAGGCGTGAGTCAAGGTCAATAGCTGTTACTACCGGTACAGTTGTGAGACGTGACAGGCCACCAGATTCGATTTAAGAACAACAATCATTACTCTAAGGTCCGTGGACAAAGCGCCCATGCCGATCGTACATTGCATGACGACGATTTGCAAGCGCGCATTCATTATTAGTGTACAAAAAAATTGTAAGACTGCATGGGGTAGTCTTTCTTTTTCCATGTACTGTCTCCACCTTTGAAACGAGTGCACTTCTAGGGATGGTTAGAAAGATCAATGCTATTATAAAATTATATGTGTGCTTTTATGAAAACATAAATACATGAACTATTAAAAATCTACTAGCGCTAGGGGGTCCATAACATAAAAAGTGTACTTTTTTTAATAATGGAACAAGGTTCCAACCTCTGCCGTCCGGAAATTGGAACACAGTTAATAGTCACAATACAAACCAAAGTCGAAAGGCTTACAAATGCAAGAGGAAACAGAAGCAAGTTCAGCCCATGTAGTGGGCGCAACCAGAAAAAACGAAGAAACTGAGCCGCAATCTAAAGATATGATTCGTTGTGGCTAGCTCGCGCAGCCAGCGCGTCCACGTCGCCGGCTTTTCGTGGCCGTTCGATCGGCCACGCGGACGGCCCAGATCGGGCGAGCCGCGGTCGTTTTTCGAAAAAACCCTTATACTTTTTGAAAATCAACCCGCGATCCAGAGTCCCTCTCAGGATATTTTGCAAGAAACTCCTCGGATTTTTTTGAAATCAACCCGCAGTCCAGAACGGATGCCCTCCGGGTTTTTTGCAAAAAAAACCTTACCTTTTCCGAAAATCGACCCGCGCTCCACAAACCCTCTCACCATTTTTTGCGAAAACCTCCTCGGATTTTTCTCAAATCAACATACAGTCCAACTTTGATTATATCTTTTTTTCCCAAAAAAAACGTTTGGCCAGTGCACCGCGCGCATGGGCGCGCCC